CTATTGATTGTACATCAGATTATTGTGAACCAGGTTCAATAAATCATGATGGAATAATTCATAAAACATTTTCATTATCAAAAACTTCTTATAAAATAAAAAATCCTACAGTCAAAATTATACTTAGTATTGTATTTAGTATTATTACATTTATTATCTTAATTCTATTTATTATTTTATTATCTCGATGGAAACAAGGTAAAAAATTATTTTGTTGTCATTTTCTTCAAACAACAACAGCAACAACAATAGCCGAAGCAACACGTCGTCGGCGTCAACATCATAAACAAATTATTGATAATAATCCAGTTGTTATCGAATCTGTTGTTACACATGGTGCAAATATGAATGTACCACCATATCCATATAATAATTATGCGTATCTTAATGATGAAATTTCAAATAATAAACGAAAACTCTATAATCCAATGTTTGCCGATTCTCCAACATCAGACATTCGACAACAGCAACAACAACCACCTGTAGTAGTAGTTGTATCAGATGATAGTACTTCTTATAATAGTCATTCATATTCCGAACAACTGTGACATGATAGAAATAAAAACTTTGCGAATGAGTGTATGTTTACCAACATCGAATATGTACTTTCATATATTTGTAAAAAATAAAAATTCTATACTTTGGAATAATATATATTTAACGGAGAAAAGTAAATAATTCATATAGAATTATGAAAAGATAATATCAACTTATATGTTATCTGTTTTTCAGAGAAATGTATAATGTGAACTAAAAGGAACTGTTTGCGATTAAACATTTAATCATTCATGTATTAAATGTCTATAAATAGTTCTGACAAGGTGTTAATAGAATATAATTATTACACTTGAATTCTTTGCTGCAAAAAAATGATTCATAGGTTCATTAACCTTGCAGTGATAGGAAAGAAAAGTCGAATTAAAAAGTCTCTACTGAATTATGTATGATTACGAGAGAAAAAAAACAATTCGAATAGAATCTGTGTCAATGAAAAGATTCTGTTCATTACTTATTGAATTTAACATGTAATGACAATCGCGTTTTATAAAATATTAAGATCATCTATTTCACTATATTCTCATGTTTAGTAAGCACATGATTGTTCATTATACACGTACCTAATGACGTGTATGTGTGTGGCATGCAACAGAATTACGTCATAGATGATCTTGACACGTATTTTAGATTTTTTTCAAGGTTATTTATCCCGCTTTTTTTCTTCTAAAGACTTAGTTTGATGATATAATATTTAATTACTTCTATGAAACATCATCCATTATAGGATTCTATAACAATGTCAATCAATTTGTAAAACAATCAAACAAAAAACTCTCGTACACTATTTTATTTGATTCTTACAAACATATTAATCCATGTTGTTTGTCGAATGTATTCCTGTATCTATAGACATCTATTGTCATACACTATATTTATATCTTTTGACTGATCAATCAAATCATCTGATTATTTCTTTAGCATTTGAAATAAATATAACAGCATATGACTGAATATATATATACCTATTCAGACCTAGTTTCCCATATTATTTATCGTTTAACACTGTATCATAATGGGAAATAATAATAGTGCTACTGGTAATAGTCCATTGAAAAAACATATTGAAACAGCAACAAAAACAGGTGTACTTCAATATGATAATAAGAAACTAAAGGAAGTATGTAGAAATCAATTGAATGATACATCTCTTAATTTCACTGATTTATTAGATAAATCCTGGTCTCTGTCTACCAGGTTTGCGTAGTTTATCATTGAATGATAATGAACTTCAAACAATTCCTACGGAAATTAGTTTAATGGTTAATTTAAAAAATTTAAGTCTTCGAAATAATCAAATCGGTAGGAATCTTTCTTATTTATTAAAAATAAATTTCCCAATATTTAGTTCAATTACCTGATTGTTTTGGTCAATTGAAAAAGCTTGAAAATATTCAATTAGGTCAAAATCAACTTTATACATTACCATCATCATTTGCAAATTTAAGTAGTTTAAAACATATAACTTTATCAAATAATCGTTTTACAATTATTCCTGAATCAATACTTAAATTACAAAATTTACAATTACTTGATTTATCATCGAATCAAATAACACAAATTCCAGATCAAATTCAAACACTTCAAGTTGATGAATTAAATCTTAATGATAATCGAGTAAGATATTTTTCTATTTTTTAATATTTATCTATTTATTATTTTTTAGGTAAATAAAATTTCGGATCATATTCGTTTATGTCCTCGTTTGAAAACATTACGTCTTGATCGAAATAATCTTAATCTAGATATTATTCCAGCTAGTTTATTACTTGATTCAAATTTATCATTACTTTCATATGATGGAAATCGATTTGATGAAAAAGCTTTTCAAGGCAAAGAAGGATACGAACAAGTAATTATATACATTTGATAAAAATCAAGTATATATCGATTCTCTATTTTAGTACATGCAACGGTTTACAGCTAGTCGACGAAAACTTGAATAGATACTACTTTTTGAAGATTTCTTTTTATTGTATACATAAGATTTTTTATTGTCATTTAATATTATATCAGATTAACCAAAAGGAAAATTGTATTTATTCGTATATTTTAACACAAGTTTAAGATTGATCTGCGAAAATTAATTATTAATAAAAATAATATTTAAAATGGATTTTTATAAAGCTACAAGAATATCTTAAAAGATTTGAAGCATTGTAATAAATAACAAGGCATCATGCAAACCTGTGATATACTCTTATAATTCTAGAAAACTTGATGGCATTGTCGAAGGATTTTATAGACTCATAGTATTTGAGCATGTCGAGAACAACTTAAACGTAGTTTAGACTATCTTGTTAAATGGTACTTTTCCTAATCAAAATTTATACAACTGAGTTTTTGCTCATAGAATACAAGGGAACTTAACATGTATATAATATATTTAGTAGTTTTAGCGTTCATCAATATATTGTCAGTAAAAATATTTATTGCTATAATAATTATTTTGATCATTATTTGTATAAGTTAAAATAAACTTACACACCGAAAAGGTATTCAATATTGATACAAATAAAAGTACTTTATATACCGCGAGAATCGTTAATTTGTTGAAGAAAATAATGAGAAATACATGAATAAGTAATTCATGGAAAGATTTTACTGTATTTTAAGTTAGAGAAATATTTCTGGATTCACTGTAATTAGTAAAGAAACAGGACTAAAGTTGAAAACGATCTAGTTACGAGTTTAGAATAACTATTCTATAAATAATAGTGAACAATAATATGAACTACTAAATAATTCTATAAAAGATGAAAGATTTGTTTTATAAAAAGTTACTTGTCTCATAATTTGCTGCAGAAGAGTTAACAAATTAGATTAATGAATTTTAGTAACACTGTTTATTTTTAATTCATTTCTGAGAGCGTGATGTTGTTGATCAATGTTTTATATCATCACTTAGTATCCTTAGAAATCCGTACAATTCGCAATTTTAAAAATCAATAGTTTCATACCAATCATAATCCATATACACAATATAAAAGTCTGTATCGTGACTTGAACATGTCGTTGTAAACAAGGTAAAAAAACTATTTCATTGTTGTTTTTCTCAAACATTAACAAATAATAGTCAAAGCGGCACATTGCCATTCATACTATAATCAAATAATTGACACTAATCCTACTATGATCGAATCTGTTATTATAAAAGATCTGATATGAAATCTCGAAATGGAAAAATTCTGAAAGAAAAATATAAAGCTCTTTCTATTGTACTAATGATATCCTTCTAATCTATCAATACAAATGTCCTTATTTTTTGACTTTCGATATTATCTATCGATCTAGTTATACGTATTAATACTGTCGGATGACTTTCCTTATAATTCATTGATAGTGAAAATACAGGTCGCGACAACAAGTAGTTAAAGAAAGTCATTACGATCAAAATCAAATAATTCAAGAATATCAATTGGTATTTCGAAAGATTTTAATATTTAATTATGTACAGATGATCATAAAAATATTTTAGTAGATTAAATAAATAATCCTTTTTATATTGTGTCATTGTTGAAATTCATAATCTATTGCAGTTCCTTATTTTTTTTTTCCATACGAGCATTTTATTCTTGTGTTCGGTTGGCTATATGAATATTCACCGAAAGAATCTAATGAACAGCTGCGTATTATTGCCTACAATTATTTCTTCTCTAAATGTATGTTTACGGAAAAGAAAATAGGAAAAGAAAAAGAAATAGAAATAGTCGATCTTATTCTTTATTTTTCAGTAAATCGACTTGCTTGCATATTTTTTCTTCTTTTCCTTTAGTTCTTAAATTATAAGAACAATCTTGTGTATTTTTACGATGAATATTGCATGTAAACGTTGATAGATAATTAAGAGGAGTTAACAATGTTTCATTTTCTATCCTAGTTGTTTCCCAGTAGGGATTCAAACAAATGTTTTTTTACAACAGTTATACGTATTGTCAATGAGTTTAAAGGAATATGTCTGTTACTTATCATCATTCTATTTTTAAGGATGAAAATAGAATAATAATAATGAAACGACAGATAAATTCAGGAACTTGACATAAATAAAAATATAATCTATTTATATATTAATTCAATGCCCTTATTCGAGTTATTCCAGCAAGCCATTAATTTGTATTATTTATATTTTTGCCTTCTACACTAAACATATGGTTTATTGAATGAGTATATATATTTTTTTGTGTATCTTAAATGCTTTAACAAATGATAGTAAGAAGAAAATGAGAGAGAGAGAAAAAAAATGACTTTATCCTTTGCTAACATCTTTTCGGAATATGCTTATCAATTCATAATTATTAAGCGAAAGAAAAAAAAATTTTCTCCTCCTCTTCGCTATATTTTTCTTCTTTTTTTTTTCCGAACGACGAAAGGCCAGCATGATTGACATCACAATAATAATAGTTACAAACATTAACATATTCTTCTATTATTAAATTTTACTGGATATGGTCAGTTCATCCTTTTCTTTTTTCTTCTCTTCATCCTCAACTTATCATCGTTTGATTACTATTATATGTATTTTACTTTTAAATCCATTACCATTTATTTACGGTGTGCCAACAGAAAAAATTGATAATAATGCTAAATTACGACGTCAAAAACGACATGTCAACTTCAATAATGATGATATATTGTTTAATAAAGAGAATTTTATGCCTAAACAAGAAATTATTTTTGAAGGACTATTAGGTTTGACATTTTCTTTTTAATATCGAATAAAGATAAAATTTATCTTATAATAATAGGTTGCAAATATGATTCAAACGTATGCAATCAATATGAAACTTGTTTAGATGGTAAGCTTAATATTACGTATTATGAAAATTTTTTTAAGAATCAAATTGTTAAGTGGCATATATTAATTTGATAATAATCATGAAAATATTCCTGTAAATAAACTTCGAGATATTTCTACAAAACTATCACAATCTTTAATCTGTGTCATTTTACTTAAATGAAGAACATCTTTTATGCTTAATTTACCATGTAAAAACTAGCAAACTTATTAAATAACTAATCAACTATCATATTAATTTAAAATCTATTGAAAAAGTTTTTTTTAGTATCAAAAGAGTAATTATTTTCTATAAGAATTTCTTTGAAAGAGAGCAATTGTATATATTATTCAGAGATATAGTGATATAGAGAAAAAAAAGTACGAAGTGAATACATTCTCATTTAAACAGAATTTTCATTGTTTCTTTTTAAAAGATATACTAAGTGTATAATCTTTAAATTGATTTCCGTTTTTTTTCTCTATTATATTGCAAATATTTTAAAAGCTTATGTTGCATTCTTATTTATTTAAGTGAAACGCGACGTCTGAGTGTTTTCCCGTAACATTGAATATATTTAGAACTATGACGAGAATATTTACTTATATATAAACAATTTATTTAAAAATGTTAAATTATTCTATCGCATTCACGTTTCTTTAAGGTTTGTCTACATATTACATTATTTAGTAAATTAAAAAGCGTTGTTTTTCATTTGCATAAATTTGATTAATTTCTTTCGAATATAGATGCACTTTTTGGCCAATGTTGGAATGGTGAAAGATCAGTGGAAAATAGTCTTGATGGGCTTACGAAAAATAAATTATCGATATTGGAAAATACAGTAGAATTTTTAAATCGTTATCATCTTGATTGGAAAGATTTTATGACACAATGTATTCTATCACATATATTATTTGCTCAACAAAATCATAATAGTTTACAATTATTTTATCAAGATTGTTTAAATAAAAATGAATTTTTAAATAATATTGCAGAAAAACAAGAAGATGTCGATATTAATCATCGTCAAATTGATGACGATTATAGTAATACAAAAATAATAAAATTTTTATCTTTATTTTTATTTATATCTATTTCTAGTGGTAGATTCGCAGGAATTATATCCATGGCCAATAAAATCAAAAAGTTTATTTTTTGATCTTGATAGATCACCTGATACATTGTTACCAATGAGTACGAAAGAACAATCTGAATTATCATCATTTATCGAAGCAACATCCCATCAAAAGATTCCTATTGATAATGACGATTTTGTATCTATAGAAAGACCAACAAAAATCATTGCAAAAGAATCGAGCATGAGTAATGAATTTTATTTAAAATATATATATTTTTATTTGTTAGTTTTATTTTTTTTTGAAGAAGAACCAAATAAAATGTCTATGCAAATGAACGAAGGTTATCCAAGTTTAGTCGAAACATTACAAATTAATAATAATAAACAAATAATACCAAAATTAAGTCAAGAAACAATGAGTATGAATATTTAGTTTTTCATTTAAAATTTCTATATTCTTCTCACCATTAAAGTGAACAAAAATCTGGCAAATAACAATATGTTATTCAAGGGTACTGGTGTTCATCGTTATTTGACAGCTGAAACAACTAGCGGCTATATTGTAATCAATCGAGAGTATAATTATACATATACCATATCTATAGTTGTCTAATCTCTTATATATTCGTCTAGCTTTAAGGATCAAATAGAAGGAGCTCGATTATTGGCACTTATTGCACAAATGAATTATTGGCCAGCAACAATATTTACTGGATTGAAGTATGAAAATAAATAATTTTTATTTCTTTATAATCCTTTATTTTTTAATGAAGTGCGTATAAAAATACATTTACATTTCATGTTTTGAATAATGCTTATCGAGTTAATGCAAGCAATGTTGTTAATGCCATTCGTAAGTTATGTCAAAACTGTCAAATTAATGAGAAATTTATTTATAATATAAATTTATGTTTAAAATCGAAAACTTTAGCTACTGGTAAAAGTGTACTTATAAAAAAATATTTCGTGTATTGCTCCAAAGGAATTTGAAAACAGTTTGAGTTGATGCGATTATGGCTTTAATAGAGAAACCAAACAAGATTAATTTAATCTGAAGTTTTTCTCATATATGAATTTCGTCATTACAAGTCGAAGTCCTATATGATAAACTATAAAGTGACCGCCATTTTTAAGAAAATTCCTCTTAGATCAAATTCTGTTAATGTAAATCAATCGAGGGTCTTACCTCTATTTCTATGAGTTTAATTAAATTCTATCAAAAATTATTTCCTTAACAGTTCATCTTCATCCTTTTTAATGTTATTAAGTCTAATCTGACAAAGAAATTCTTAATTGTCATAATAGTAATCGTCTGTAAAAATTAAAAATATGTTTCTATCTTCAATAATGATAGTATACTGACTTTGTCTGTTGACATTGTCTCAATAGCTTTTCTTTAAAATGGATATGACATTTGTTATTGAAAAACAAAGTTTTCTTTTTTTGTCCTTAAACATGTCAAATTAATAATATTTAAAAATATGCACAATTAAACTTGGAAAATCGTTTACTTTGAACATTTTATATAATTGGTTTCTTTGTCAAACTATTTTGGCGAGAAATTTTGTATCTTTAAACATTGTTTTTAATCAGTCTACTGTTGTCATTTCCTTTCATTGATCCATTCATTTCCTTTTCTGACATCGTTCTATCTATTTTATTATTAATTATTTCAAAAAATTATCCGCTCAATTTCACTTTTTTTTATATGGCTTTTGTCTTTGTCTTCTTTTTTTTGACGGACAGATAGCACATCCTCTTTTTTTGTCTTCCGTCCGTTTCTTTGACAAATTGCATACTTATATTGGTTCTCAAGAGGCAGTTGTAAACTATAATATGACAATAAGCAGAATAATCATATGTTTCATATTTTGATAATTTACGAAAATCTAATATTTATCTTTATTTTACAGAATATAATCAACATATTATTGAAAATCAATTAGGTATTCATATAATCAATTCCGGTATTGGTAATATAAATCAAGTAAGATATAACATATAGAAATGAAAGACAGAAGAAATATTATCTTACTATTGTGTAGTGTCTTACTAGTGACTAGTGATTGCAATTAGAAGATGCCTTGAGGGTTAAACGTCGATACTTGACTCTTTTTTTTTTTCTTGTCGAGTGAAATACATCATGCATGTTGAATACACTATCAGAAAGAATACAATGACAGTATGAACCTCTCAGACACACACACAGCAAGATGATCTATAAATGATGAATGATGTTAAACAATACTATATAACAGTGAGCAGTAAGAAACGAAGAAGAAGAAGACGAAGAAAAAAAAGCTTTTCAGTATCTTATTCTACTTTACTATTGTTTAAAGATGCGAGGAAGAACAAAAAATATATATATATGAAAGAATCGCTTCTCTTTTTTTTCTCTCTCCTTCTCTTTATGAATAGAATAGAAAAGATAGAGATGTATCTCTTTTTTTTTATTATTATGCATAGAGTAGATTAATTACAAGCAGACTATGTTAAACATTATATTTCCTGTTTGCATCTAACTATTCGAGTAAGTTTAATAGAATATTTTATTTAGAAAACAATTATGTATATATTAAGCATATGGATAGAATAAAAAAACGGATTATAACAATATTATTGATTACATTGTTATTCGTTTCAGATATACAAGTGCTATTATAGTCGTGTTTTATTCTATAAAAATTAACAAATAGATGAATGAATAGTAACAAAATTCTATTGAATATTTTCTTCCCATCTCTCTCTCTCTCTCTCTTTATATGCATATATTTGTCGGTGTGACTTTTCCATAGCTAGTTATACGAGTGAGCACGCTAACAAAGATTGAGCGTCTATTAGATTCACACGCAAATGCATGCATAATTGATAATTCATTGCAACTAGTATATTGTCGGACTATGCTTCTTTTCTCGCTCTCTATCAGTAGACAACTTATTAACACAATTGTAGAAAACGAAAGAAATAATTCTTTCAAGTTTTTTCCTCATTGACGTTTCTATTACTATATGACACCTTTTGTGTTAAGATTGTAAGTAAAAAGAAAAATAAAATATTCAAAATGATAAGATTTCTCCAATGAAATAAAAGACAGAATATTAATATTAATAAAGAAAGAAAAAGAAGAAGACGAAGAAGAAGAAGAAGAAAAGAGTTTTTTCCTCGTTTTCTTTTTTGTTTAAAGAGTGCTCAATTATCAGTTGAACGACAAAATGGTTCACGTTTACCAATTCTTATATTGGCTACCTGTATTTTGGCTATTTTTATTATATGTTCATTTACATTATTCTATTTTATTAAACGAAACAGTCATATTCGAGATAAATTTGTTGAAATAACTCGAATTAAAGGTTTATCAACAAATGATTATCAAGTAAGAGAATATTAATTAAAAGGAATTAGAATAGGAAGAAAAAAGAAAAAATATCTTTTGAAAAGGATTTATGTCGACGACGAATGCAAACACAATCAAAAGATCAGAAATCATCAGAAACTCATCAAGTAGCATCAAGCAATAGTCGTATCAAACATAATAGTGAACGTTCATCATCACAAAGTTCTACATCATCATGGAGCGAAGAACCTGTAACTCCGATAAATATGGATATTATGACTGGACATTTAATTTTGGTTTGTAAATTATCTTAAAGTTGATATTTATGTATGTATAAATTGATTTTTTAGTCTTATATGGAAGATCATCTACGTGATCGACATCGTCTAGAAGCTGAATGGCAATCACTATGTACTGATGAAGCAAATGAAGAACAAGCATCATGCTCTGTTGCACTTTCTGAAACGAATTATAAAAAGAATCGTTATATTGATCGTATACCATGTAAGTTAAATTGTGATCTCTTGATTAAATTAATGATAGACACACATCAGCTAGTATTTAGTTCTCTCTCCCTCTCCCTCCCTTTCTCTCTCTCTATATATATATATGCACTTTATTCATGCCGCTCCCATTGAGTCATATATACTAAACATAACTATTCAAAAGCTTCTCTTTCTTATTTATTTATAAACATATGCATTGGCATTCTATTCAAAAGAATAGAAGAAGAAGAAGAGAAGAAAGGTAAACGTTAGTTCCGTTCGTCTTTTCTTTTCTTCTTACTGTTAATTAGAGCTGATAGTCGAAATTTGAGTAGTATAACTCCTCGTTTCCTTTTTTTTTCATGCATTTATAAGAAGAAATGTCTTGTGCGCGCATGTACTCATATATTATCTTAGGATTTAAATAGAGATATCTTCATTAAAAAAGACTATTTCTCATTTTCTTTTCTTTTTTTTCTCATTTAAAGATGATCATACTCGTGTTCGACTTGAAAATAATGATGCCGACGATGATGATTATATAAATGCAAGTACAATTGTAAGTTTAATAACAATTGTATTATTATCATTTAATAAGTAAATGAATGTATACATATAGGTTGATTCTGATCCAAAATGCAAATATATAGCTACACAAGGTCCCATACCAAATACAACAAATGCATTTTGGCAAATGGTTTGGGAACAAGGATCATGTGTTATCGTAGCATTGGCTAGACCAAGTAGAATGAAATTTTTTTTTCTTCTCCATTGATAAATTTCTATTCTAGTTGAAAATGGTATTACAATGTGTCATCATTATTGGCCAGTTGAAGGTTCTGCACGATTCAATGATTATGAAGTAAGGAGAAAAAAAAAGAAATCTTTGTTTTTTAGCAAAAACTTTTGTGATATATTTTTAAAGGTAAATCTTGTTTCGGAACATATTTGGTCGGATGATTATGTAGTTCGAAGTTTTTATTTAAAAAATCTTCAAACAATGGAAACACGTACTGTAACACAATTTCATTATTTAACATGGGATGAATTGTGCAATCCACCATCAGCTAAATCTTTACTTGATTTTCGACGGTATGTTTTATAGACAAAAGAAAAAGAAGTGGAAAATAATTATGCTATTCTTACTCATTTGTTTGAAATTAATGAGAGACACAAAACTAAAATAATTTATTGTCTAAGATACGATTACAGATGAGTATATATATGCACGTGACTAAGTTGGATTTGTATTTCTTTGGAAGAAGAAGAAGAAGAAAAAGGAATCGCAAAGTACACTTTTCTTAATGATTATGACAAAAAAGACGATTATTAATTTGACGTCTTCCCTTCAACTAATGGACATTTACATGCAATGAAAGAAAAACTGCACTTCTCTTCAGGCAGCTTTTGAAAATTATGCAATTTGGAAACCAATAATTGCATAGTCACAAAAGCGACCTGATGAAAAGTACCTATTGACATAATTTCATTTTAATTGCAAGAAAAACGAAACTTTTTCCCCGTTTTTTTTCTCTGTCGTTAACTAATATTCTTTTATATTTATAGTAAAGTAAACAGATGTTTTCGTGGTCAATCATCGCCAATTATTGTTCATTGCAAGTATGTATTTACAACTAAATTATTGTATTTATTTATTTGTTTTTATTTACAAGTGATGGTGTTGGACGTACTGGTACATATATCTTACTTGATATAGTCTTGAATCGTATTTATAAAGGAGCACGAGAAATAAATATAGCTGCTACACTTGAACATATTCGTGATCAACGACCTCAAATGGTTAAAACAAAAGTAAGATGAGATATAAATACATCAGTAAAAACATATATAGATTTTTATTTGTGTTTCATTTAGGATCAACTTCAATTTGTATTTGTTGCTGTGGCTGAAGAAGTAACTTATTTAATAAAAGCAATACCACACTAAGGAAAAAAGAAAAGTTTATGACATGTCAACAATAGTTTCCTAACTTTTCCGTTTTTTGTTGCCAGAGAAAAAAAAATTTAACTGATGATAAATAAATGCATTAAAGGGATAAATCTATATGAAGAAATAATGTATAAAAAAATCCGGTTATAAAAAAAAAGTATCATTTATATGTCTTAATTGAATTTCAAGTGCACATTCTTCTTTTCTATCCACTTATAACTTTCAATACTTAAAAAGTTATTTCAATTTATAGATGTAAGAAAAAGACCTTCTTTTGTATGGTAGACTTCTAGTGCAATTCGAATTAACATTGATGATTCTGTTGTTTCTCTTGAAAATGCTCATATCTTATGTATTGATTTTGCTCTGTTTGTATTACTAAAACAAATTTTCAATTATAACAATATTTATTCTCAAAATAGAACGGCAAACAAGGTTTTTTTTCTCATTTCTTGGTAATTTTTATATTGGAGACAAAGGATCAATATTTATTAGTATAAACGTTTTGATTCATCTTTGAATTTACAATTTCGAATCAGTAAGCAACTGATGTTTTCGAACTGCTTTAGCTTTATAGTGTACCAATATCTATTTGATTACAAGCCATATGAAATCCTACAAATATCCGGCATTAATAGATTCTATTAAGCAGTCGGTCTATTGTGAAGTCAAATAAGCCCAATCTGGAAGTTTTCCTGACCAAATAAAGATGAATATGTACAGAAAAACTATTTCCTTTAAAATGCATTCAATAGCTTTTGAAGATGTGGTTGATACATACATTGTAAGCATGTGAATTGCTATTGTTCTTCTTTTTACTCATAGCTACATCCACTTATTCGGAATTGTCGATTTAATTAATTAAAATAAATCCGACGCAATAATCAGATATTTGATGTATGTAGTACTTCTATGATATGTAATATTTCTAAATTATGTAACAATAATAATTATTTTTTTTAAGTGTTCCTGCAAAAGTTACACTCATTATGCATCATAACTCAGATTTACGTTTTTTTTGAACTAGAACTTCAGTGTAGGTATAGCACTATTTTTTGAAATTCATAGTTAGATTCATTTTTACTGATATAGTAAATATTCAATTATTGAAAAAAATCTATCCCAAGACATAAGAATTATATCTGTTAGGATAACATCGAAAACCAACGGAATATGAAAGCGGTATTTTAAAGTGGATATCTTAGGATTTTTTCACTGATACATGCTCAACTTCTTGCTTTTTTCCATCGGAAATGATTGGAAATCAAGGGAAAAACTCGCAGACATCCGATCCGGAATACTGTTTCTATGTTTCGTTGATTTCCAGCGTTTCTCTACAGATTCCGGTGCCGTTCCCACAAGTTTCCGGCTGATTCCGGTGAAAATCCACTTGTTTCCGCCTTTCGGAACTATCAATATGAAAATATATTTTCGATGAATGAGCCGTAATTCACTAATAAACTAGTTGTATTGTTATTTTTATTTTGTTTGCTATTGATTGGGATAAAAATAAATTGTTTTGATATTCCGTTATATATTGTAGAATCGTTCGTCATTGATTGTATAAATTTGGTATGAAACTACTACATGTTTTGTTATAAACAGATATCATATTATCTCACAGGTAACTCTCAAATTGAGATTTCGATATAATCAAATAACTGTGAAGAGTGTTTATACCGAGACAATAATTTATATTGATAGATAGGACAAATAATAGTAATTTCAATAAAAGTAGCGATAAGTCAGAACAATGATGTCGCCACATTCGATACTTGTGTTTTCTTCGAATAGTCTAAAAAAATTATCAATTTAATACGTATTAAATATTTAATAGTTAATCTACTTTATATACTAAACAAAAAGTTTTTAATCTATCATATTTATTTTTCATTGCATATTTTTTTCAGCAAATCAGAACACATACACATTTTCATGACGTCATAGAAGTATACAGCTGTCAGACAAATAATTTTATTAAATATCTGCCAAATCCATCTTCTTAAAATCTCTTACATATTTTTATTAGAAAAACTATTAGAAAAAATAATTCTTTTTATTAATTGCAATACATAAAATTCTATATTAATATTCGACCTTGGCTTTTCTATTTTTACATAAGATATATATTTAATTTCAAGTATGTTTACTATTCTGAATTTGTTTGATTTTCATGAACAACAAAAATTATATACATATACCAAACCTTTCATCAGTAACTGATAATTTCAATATTAATACAAAAATACCACCAATTTCATTCGTAATTACTACACCTTTGAATTCAACAATTTCGTCATTAGATCATAATCGATCAAATAAAATATATTCTGACAATTTAGTTATTACTCAACCAATAGTCAGGTATGCAGATATCGAAACTTCAAACATGCATTTTTTTTTCTTTCTCATTCTTTGCCCATGTTTAGTAAACTATTGAGTGAAACAATAAAACAAGAAGAAATTGAAAATAATTCTTTACAAGAAATATATTCGAAAACGAATCGATCAAAAACGAAGAATATACAGTTACCACCACCAACAGGTTCTTTCTTATTAGAAATTAAAATACAATAATTATGTATTTGTTTTTTTTTTCTTTCACTAGTTACTACTGTTCATCTTAATCCACGTGAAACACTAAATGGTCTATCGATTATTCCAATGACAAATACTAATAGTCATCTGATGTCAACATTAAATCCAGCTCATTTATCAGATGGTGCTGGATCATATTTCGTTTCGGGTATAGAAATATATTCTCTAAACTTATCCCTGGATGAAGAAAATACGTTGATAGTTTATCAAATATGTTCGAACATTCCGAAAATATCACTAATAGAAAATATAAATCTCGTCACTAAAATTTGAAACGTATTGAATAAATGAGAGCATATAACTGACAGGTAACGCTCGTCCGAGGACTCGCTTAGCTCTTTCTCGTAGAAATGTATCCTCTTCACATTTACTGGAAAACCGTGAAAAACCGGTCTTCGATGTTTTTTTGACCTCAGATTCGAAGTCCCCGCATCGAAATACTTCTAGAAATGGCTTTTTCGAAAAATCGGTTTTCGATGTTCTTTTGACCCTGCGGATATACACGCAAGCAAGCAGACAATCTATGTTTGCAAGACTCTTCTCTACGAGAAGAGAATAAAGACATTTTAACAGTTTGAAATTAGCTATTGATACTTCCTTTTTTTTCGATATAGTGAATTTAGTTACAGCTTGACAATTGACAGATATTGAAATAAAACTACAATCAAATAATCCTACTGTGAATACCAAGATGTTTTTCTATGAATAATAAAGATTTTTTTTTAAATTAAAGGTCTGACTGATCTGGCATCAAACTATAAAATGAATCCATCATCAAATACTGATATGCCGTCTCCATCATCCTCATCAAATTCTTCAAATCCACCATCATCAAGTCATCATCATCAACACCATCAAACTAGAAGACATGGAGAGGGTGGTGATCCAACAAGGAAACGAGAAATGCGTTTACAGAAAAATCGGTAAGATTATTTTTGTTCGTATATATATTTATTTTTATCATTTGTTTGCTTTTCTTTTTCTTAGAGAGGCAGCACGTGAATGTCGTCGAAAGAAAAAAGAATATATAAAATGTCTTGAAGAACGAGTAGCTGGACTTGAAGCTCAAAATAAAGCATTAATTGAAGAGCTACGACAATTAAAAGAACTTTATTGTCAACGAGAAGAAACAAGTAATAAAAGTAATTCAAAAACAACAACAGCAACACGTTAAAAGACAAAATAAAAACAGTATTATTACTATTATTATTATTTTTTTGTTCTCTTTATTAACCATATTTATTTGTTGTGCAACAGTGTGTATTTTGTTTTGCCGTGGTTATCTGTCTTTTTCTTTTTCATGTGATTTGTTTTTGTATTCAAACTTTATATTTGTGACAATATAAACTAGACAGTGTGGTCTTTTCTTTTCATTTATGTTCGTGTAATATTTCTTTTTCTATTTGTTTATTTTAGACATGATTATTGACAAGAATTGACAAAAAGTAAGTTTCCTTTTTCTAAATAGTCTTTACTAAATATTAACAGACACCTAAAGAAATGCTTTATGTAAGTAAAATAAAATAATCTAGGTCATATTTTTGAGTTTTTTCTTTTAAAATTGAAATTAAGTGCTATTTATTTATAGTTATATAAATATGCATCCATTAAAAATTAATCATTTTACACCGCAAGCTATTATTAATTATAAATATGATAATTAAAAGGAATGTTAAAAATAAATTTTATTCTTTATCATTAATAAAATGTTGCTTGATTATTCTGCTAGTCTAAACAAAACTTCATATCTAAAGTTTTAATATTTAACGGGTTCTTTTTAAAGATTGGCAAATTTCTGATAGAATAATTCATAGATCAAAGTCTTACCTTTTATCATATTGTACCTCTGTACTTTATACTGCTTCTTGCATATATATGTAATAATTTGAGGAATATCATAAAAATTATTCCAGTTCGACAATTCTTTTTTTTTCTATATAATAAATCGAACAGGAAACGTGAGAGTTGATAGAAGTTTTTCGTATTAAATTTTCAAAAAAGTAGGCTTTAGAAGTGTCATGAAATTTTTCTAGTACTTCATACTATGTAAACTAGGTATCTACGATCCATGATAATGCACTTTAAATACACAAGTGTTCTTATCATAAAAAAAAAGTTCTAAAAAAAGATAAGTGTTTTGTTGATAATATTTTTAATCGACATGGTTTTTTGCACCTTTTATTTTGCGTCTTTTTTTTCTTCAAAACTAATTACTCTATTATTTTTCTTAGTATCATGAACTTAGCTGTTCCATTATCGCCAACATCATCGGGTTTTCATCGTTCTCATTCAGATCGTGATCTATTAGCAAATGAACGTCGTTTAACGCGTACTCATTTAAATAGTTCATCTTCATCATCAAATCTCGCATCACAATCAACGAATACTACATCTAATATATCAGCACCAACATCACCTACAGCTACATCATCTAATCCAGCACATCTTCCATGGGATTGTTTACAGAAATGGTTATATGGTATTGCTGTCGTAACATTTGATTTAGAATTAGGACAATCAATCGAATATCTGTTACCAAAGCATTGTAAATTAAGTGATAAAGAAAAATTGAATTTATCTTATTTATCATTTCCGGATACAAATTCTACATGTCTCGGTGATTTTCAATATCATTTTCGTATTAATCATGAATCATCAAATTTAACAACATACTATCAATATTATAATTCAACTGTTCCAGCAGCATTACAAGTTGATAATAATATATTATTTGGTTATGTTAATTTTCGACAAAAACGTGATAAAACAATAAAACGTGGTTTTTTCCAAAAATCATTTGTACTTTTATCGAAATTACCATTTATTTCACTTTTTTTAACCATTGTTAAACAACTTGCAGTCGATTTTTTTGAACATGGTTTATCAAGTTTAGAATCATGTTGTTATTTAATGGATCATCAATGGCCAGAACCTGAACCTGGAAAAACTTTATTATTACCATTATTAGATAGTGTACTTCAAATACGTATTCCAACACATGGTGATAAACCATTTTCTCCATCAGATCTTGTTCAATTTCGTACGATTGTTAATGAAACATCGATAGTGAATACGAATAGCAGTCAGTCATTTAAATTTCCTATAGATGATGATACTGAAATTGATGGATCCGAACAAGATGTAATAATACAATTATTTTTCTTTCCGTTCTCTTTTAACAAGTATTTGATTTAGTTAACAACTGACGTTCTACCAAAACATGAACAACAACAACAACAACAACTGCCACGTCTTATTCCATTTGTGTATGATGTTAATACACATCAATCATTGTTATGTGTATTAACACATATTCAACTTCTATGGGAATTAATATTACTTAATGAACCTATTGCAATACTTGGAAGTTTTCCAACAGAATGTTCACAAACAATTCAAGCACTTGGTAAACTATTTTTATAGATTAAAAAATATATTTAATTGAATCTCTGAATGCTTTACTTCAGATTTTTCCGATGAGAATATCTGAGAAAATTTAACAGATATGAATTTGATCCTCAAATAAATTTTTCTAAATCTTTTTAGTTCATATTATATGGCCATTAAGATATGCATCGGATTATCGTCCATTTTTTACTATACATAATAGTGAATTTCATGAAATAACATTTAATACTTCGACAAAAACATTAGCGTCACCACCAAAAATTATAATTGGTGTGACAAATCCATTTTTTGCTAAACTTCTTCATCAATGGCCACATGTAATTCGGGTTGATGATAGTCAACATAAAACTAAAACCAAGAAACATGAAAGTTTTCTTCTTGTTGAACGTGATGA